GCACCTGCAAGGGGAGGTCAAGCAGAGTTTGGCGTGATTTTCGGGGCCGTCCCGCGTTGCTTCTCCCCCCACCTCAACCCGCCACATTGGGCTCCCGGGGAATCTTCCCTTTCTACACATCCTCACCTTTTTCCCAGCTTCCTTTTCTACCCCAAATCTCGCCGCAGCCCCATACCGCAGCGGAGGCCATAGGATTTAATCTAAGTACCGCTTGATTTTTTGGAAACTCATCGCCGATGTGTGTAAAGGAGGAAGAAAAAAAAAAAAGAAATCCTCGGTTGAAACAGTGCTGGCAAAATGCCCCGCAACTGAGTCTCTGCGGCGTTTGTTCAAGTCTCTCTGTAAAAATCACATTTGACGTGTCAAAGAAAAATACAAATGCCATGGGGCTCAGGGTGAAACTATCTGCAGAGCAACTAACCCTCCCGATCCAGGAACGTCTGATTAGGGGCTCGTCGTCTCTTTGCTAATGAATGTAGCAGCAGCTCGAGACTGTACTTATGAACCACAACCGTTTAACATGAAAAAAGGCTCTGATGACTTGGATGCGGGCAGGCCAAAACATTTGAGGTGCATAATGTCGTCTTTATCACTGGGCCAATCCGTCATAGTCAGCTTTGTGCACCAATTATTATGGCTTCTTCTTGGCGTTTTTCTTATGTTCAAAGGTCATTTCAGTTTAGCATCCAATAAACCCTTTATTGGGGCTTTATTCGTCTTTTGTCTGCAATGTCATAGTTGCAATTCAGTTATGCTATGCACTAGCAGAGACTAAGCCTTCCGCATCTGACAGATTTCCCCGCTCCTTCTGCTTCTTAAGGAAAAACATACTGGAAATGAAATGTTTCTACCACCAACGATCTATGCAGGTTTTCTACACGGATTATTCAGAACAGATGTGGACCGCTGCTTGTTATGCCCTCATTAGAAAGCATTTCTAAACCCAGCCTCTGGATTTCACTGGGTAAACAATCTAGGGAGGTTTTTAGTGAACAAAAATACTCAGTGAAATTAGTTTCCTTTCGTTATAAAAATATAATGGGTAGAAGTATAGCCGAGATGATCTGTATCAACTGTGCAGAATACTTTTACTCTAGAAAGGTAAACAAATATAACTGTAAAGTTTATATAGTATCACTTTTATCTCCTGAAGATCCTTTCCAAAGCATTGTATAAACATTAACTAACGTACGCAGCTCTCTTGAGGGGTAGGTAAGTAAGTACTATTATCATATTATCAGTTAGGCTTGCCACAAGTTGGCCTAATTTATGTATTTGGCTGCTTTCCTGGATTCTTTGGCTACATGTAACACAGTGCAGTTAGCCACTAAACAAATAGGAGAACATTTACTGCGTTTCCCTCACTCACTGAATTGTAAGGCATATTTGGGAAAGGGTACATAAATACAGCAGGGCTCAGCCAGGACCCGGAGACAGCTCCGGGTGATTATCCACGTTTGTGGCGCCCCTTGTTTTTCGCCCACCGCAGGTTATTGCCCACAGGGAGGCAGCGGTTAGGCTCATGGTCGGCAGGGGTTTTCCCTGGTGCCGGGTTCATGGGCGACGTCCCCAGTGGCCGGACCCTGGGCCGGCCGGGGGGGGGGCCCTGCCGCAAGGCTCGCAGCCCTGCCGGGTGGTGCTGGCTACCGAAGTGCCATCCAAGTCCCCACGAGCTGAGGGTATTCGGCTGCCCCGGCAGCATCCAGCTCCCGGTACCCTCCAGCCTTGGCCATGCACGCCCACTGATGACAGCCGTCTTCGGGTCGGATTTGGGGCCGTGGACCTCGGCGTCAGTAAGAGCTGGGGAAGGCTGTGGGCACGCAGACCAGACCCCTCGTCCTATCCTAGAGCTGGGAAGGGGAGGGAGAAAACCCCCTTGGTTTCCACTCGAATTGGGTAGGGCAGCGTGATGGATGCAGAGTGCTACGCATTAGGAAAGGTGACAGCTTTCTCGTGTAAAGCCGTCTGCCACGGGACTCAGTAACAGGGCACATCGGAGCACAACGATTTCCCCATTGCGAGCCACAAGCTCACGACTGCTCTCCCACAGCCCCAGAAAAAGTGCTTTTCCCTACTTGCACCTAATGATTATGCCTAAGTAAGTACTTGCTCCCATTCAATATACTGTACGTGCCACTGAACGGGACCTTTAGTAATGAGCAAGAGCATGCAGTGAATACCATGACTCACCTGTAAAACATCCATGGAAAATCATATGCTTCCTGCTTAAGCATTTTGGTAGCACTTGCCTTGTGATGTTTCATTTATATCTTGCGCCTGATTATGTGTTTGTTTCCCATCTGCACTTGCTCCCATTCAATATACTGTACGTGCCACTGAACGGGACCTTTAGTAATGAGCAAGAGCATGCAGTGAATACCATGACTCACCTGTAAAACATCCATGGAAAATCATATGCTTCCTGCTTAAGCATTTTGGTAGCACTTGCCTTGTGATGTTTCATTTATATCTTGCGCCTGATTATGTGTTTGTTTCCCATCTGCTTTTTTTTTTTCTCCTTCTTTTTAAAGAAGAAAACTGGCGCTCGGCTTGCGAGCAGCCGAGGAAGCGTTATGCGAGCTGTTTATGCCCAGTTTGCCCGCGGCGCTGCGGGACCCCGCTGTGGGGAGACCGGAGCGCGAAGCGTTTATCCTGCGCTGCCTTTTAAGCGGCAGCAGGGAGCGGGTTTGAAAACCCCTGCCCGGCTTGCGCACCGCTTCGCCCACCCCGACACCGCTGTCAAAGAGCTGCACAAAAAGCACTTTACGGAGCCCGGAGC